CTAAATCCCTCTCCTCTGACCTCCCTAAACATCACTGTCATAAATTCCCCCGACGACACTCAGGAGGAGATTGGCTGGACGTCCCGGGGCTGAACGACGGTCCTGGCGGCCCCGTGGTGCTACTGTCACGGGTTATTTGGGGTCCGACTGTGTAACGTGGACTAATACCGCATGTGTCAAGACTGTGGACGCAATGTGGATTAGCAAGCAAAGGTTGTCCCTGTACGGCTGTCAGAGAGTGACATCCAGGGACACCGTGAAGATAAGGAGATCCTCCTCCTGCCCCCCGTCACTTCATGGGGCAGCTTCCCAGCTGATGGAAACGGAGGGGGATTCACCGTCCATCATCAGCATGCTACTGGTTTCCCTGCTTTTATCTTCTGAGTATTTTAGAGCACAGGTGATAAAGCAAAGGTCAGAGTAGCAACAAACATGTTGGTGTTACCCCTCCCTTGCTTGCCCGTGGTCACTCTTCCCTTTGCCACGCTTTACCTAGGCAGAGACCTCTTTCGGTCTGTTCGGATCTCCACACCATTTCTGTTCCTCTTTGGAGTACAGTGCCACACCGGCACGAAGGCTTGTATGGTCAAAACAGCCAGTTCTTACACTGTTGAGCTAGACGTTGGGAGAGATGATGCTGCTATAATTTCCTTTATATGGGCTAATGGTGTTCAGGTAGGGAAACTGCCTGGTGTTTAAGGCAGGGCCAAGAGCTGTCTGGAGAACGGAGGCCTTCCTCCTGCGAGGAGCCAGCTTATGAGATCTTTCTCATTTTTCTCATCTTTGGTAACCACCTGTGGTGAATTTATTTCCAGCAGGCACAGCTTTGGAAGGGCTGACAGCAACCAGAAGCATCAGCATTGAAATGGTCATATTCCCAGAGAGGGAAAGCCGGGATGGGTGAGGACTGTACCTCCCTTTTATTTTACCTGTTGTGGAGGAGACCAGAAGGCGGCTTGGAGAAGACACGAGGTCTGGCATCTGAATTTGCTATGGAGATGTGAACTGCTGGAGCGGAAGGAGTGCACAGGTCATGCCAAAACGGCATCTTAGCCCACTGACTTGGAGCCTTGCTTGACCCCTCTGAAAACAATGTATAAATATAGAAGTAGGGATGCAACTTTAGCTACTACTAATCTGCGTAGAAGCGTGGTAGAGTGCCTGAAATCTCCAAACCCTGCCCCTATCCTCTCTTCAGACAGGTTTGCTCTTTCTGACCTCCCATGAGTGGTTTTTCACAACTGTCAGAGAGAGAGACATTTCCCCAAAAGAGCAAAGTGTGTTTGTTATTGACCCGGGCCTAGAAAGTGTATGAAGAGGGATCATCTCTGTTTGTTTGCGCCTGGTAATGATGTCAGGAAAAGGCTTTTTCCAAGCCCGGTTTTATCCTTTTGTGTAAGTGCCTTTGGTGCGTCTCACACCCTGGTGCTGTTAGCAAAACAATTAGGTTAACAGTGCCTTGGCTCCAACTGTCTGTCAAAGGCTGAATTGCAATGCAAATGAACTCGGGTTTATCGTTCACCTTTAGCTCTTCAAAGACAGCTGGGTGACGGAAAGGTCCCTAGAAGCCTCCATGAGAATGATGTCTGGAAAGCTGGAGTTTGGGCTCGGTGAGGTTTTGCATGCGATACCTAAGGTAGCTGTCTGCCTTTCGGGTGAAGGATATACTTCATTTACAAACAGGTTGTATTCCTTCTCTTCAGAAGGAGCAGGGGAAGGCAGCGTAAATCGCGGCTGGCTTACAGGCAGGCTTGACGGCAAGGCCGACATCATTTCGGTCGAACACAAGGCCTGCTTAGGAGGCCTGCAAAGAGGCACCTGAGAAGCGAGCTTCGCCTGGTGCGGACTAAATTCCCACTAAATTCAGCAAGAGCGCACGGCTCTGTTCAGCAGCAATCCTCTCGCATTTTGCTACAGGTTTCCCCCTCGCCCATTCCAGCTGCAAGGGTGTCTGACTCACGTTTGTCTGCCAATGAGCAACCACAAGTTACGTCAGCATCCACGGTGGTTTTCACCGGCCTTTCAAAGCGCTCCCCAAATCTGGTAGCATACATGCATGTTTTTATCTGCTTCGTTATGCTTATTTTTGTATTTTCCATGCGGTCTGTTTGACCAAGCTTTAGAGGCTTAATTAAAAAGTTGTTCTTTATCGGTTATTTAATATTTAGCACTTCTGTTGTAATTTTTCACCTGCAGAGATCAAGGTACTTTACAAAGAAAGGCAAGTGCTGCTGGCCCAGCTTTACAGAGGGGGAACCAGAGGAGCCAAAGCCCAGAGGTCCCTACGGAAGCTAGTGGGAAAGGGACGGGCCCAAGGGCCCAGAGGCAATCTGTGGCAGGGACAAAAAACATCTTTAACTCCTGGACCCCATTCCCGCTTTCTGTCCCTTCATAGCATATGGCACGTTACGCCTTTTGCGACTCTGTAGCCTGTGTATGATTAAAAAAATAATAATCACAGTCACCAGGTCATTGCAAAGCAAGTGGAAAAAAGCCCTAAAAGAGTTAATAGAATTTATAATTTGTATACAGTTTGGGAAACTTCTAAAATTAAAAAAGTATAATGCACATATTAATGGGCATGTCCGGGGTTTAACTGCCTTGCAACAGCAGATGCAGGAATCAGAATGAACTCCTTTTTTTCAAGTAACCATATGCATCACGGTGGAAAAGGGTTTTGAAGGTCGGTTCATTCCTGTACGGAAATGAGGAAATCGGTCTCAATGAGCTGGGTCACTCTGCAGGCTTGCGAACAAGATGTTAAATTAAGGACGCTATCAATTCTCCCTTTTTCGAGCTTCTAAGGCTTTATTCTTTTACCTCGGCATAAATTACACCCCAAACTACCCAAAACATCCCCAAACTCGGGTGCTACCCTGTCTGTTGTGCCTGGACATCACCCTTCGTCTCCTCAAGGTCCAGGTGCTGCCGTGTTGGTTACCACGCAATTGCATCATGGCAAGCTGCAGAATATGATGGGCCGCTTAGCAGGCAGCTTACGCTTGTGCCTACTAATTGATTTGAAAGCCAATTTAGGGATGAAATTAGGAGCCCGTCACCTGCCTCAGGCTCCTGTTTAGTAGCCAGCCTTACTAAATTCTTCTCTTAGGTGCCAGCAAGTAATGCTCTGTCCCTTCTGTGACTTTGTGCAGATTTTGTGCCTGGGCTGGCAGAGTTTCATTAAGCTTTCCCCCAAATCGATCCCCCTTCTAACTAATTTAGATCCAGATTGTGCAAATAAAGGTTCCAGGCCCGTCTCACGGGCCTTCTCACGCGGATATTTGCAAGACTGGGCGCTAACCCTGTCTCTGCTGTGTGCACCGAAGGGAGGCATCCGAGAAAGGCAGTCCCGGGAATACACCTTGTGTGTGCAGCGTGTACAGCTCCGAACCGCGCTGGAATAATAAGCGTTGCGTCCCCTGTGTTTTACGTCTGCTGTCTTGTTTAGTTCAGCGCAAACGTTTTAGAATTGGATTCGCTTAGAGCAGCCATGAGTTAAGAGTCTTGGGCTCCATTTCCCACGCGGTCACTGACTTTACTGCGCGACCTTAAGCAACTTGTCCTGCCGGCACTTATTATATGGGAAGGGAGCTACTCAGCTGGGTAAGGATGGGGACCCTAGGGGACTTCTGCCGCCGTACAGACCCTGGCACTACCGAGCCCGGTTTGAGTCCCCAGCTCTCCCGCAGACCGCGGTAGGCTTGTGTGAGCTGCACAGCCTCTTGGTGTCTCAGTTTCCCCGTCCTGTGCAGGTTCTGGCAGGCGGAATTAAAATGGGGGAGTCTGTGAAGTACTCTTGGTGCCAGAAATTATTATCGCTAGTGGTAGTGACAACAATAGGAGAAGAACTCCGGACTCTTAATTCCTGCTCCTCATTTTGTAAGAACTGGGATATACTTACCTACCATGGAAATACTTTCCCTTCCTCTGGCAACAGGTGCTGTAAAAGCGCAAAGTATTATTAGCATTATTGCTTCTCACGCCATGCCCTCTTTCGATGCCCACAATCCTTTTTTGTGTTTTGTTTTAGCCTGGCTCGGTTTTACTATTTCACTCCAGTATTTACAGCGGGCTGCAGCGCCTCGGGCACGATATACTTACCTACCATGGAAATACTTTCCCTTCCTCTGGCAACAGGTGCTGTAAAAGCGCAAAGTATTATTAGCATTATTGCTTCTCACGCCATGCCCTCTTTCGATGCCCACAATCCTTTTTTGTGTTTTGTTTTAGCCTGGCTCGGTTTTACTATTTCACTCCAGTATTTACAGCGGGCTGCAGCGCCTCGGGCACCCCC